CACCGATCTGTATGTACATAGCCTTGAGGATACAGGAAGGGAAAAAAAAAAAGGGACAACTCTCTGGGAAATAACAGACCCTGGAAATTGTTGTGAGAAAGGGAGTCTGAAATAAGTAGGAATCATCAAAAGAGCACGGAGTTATTTAAAGACTGACTTATCCACCTGACTCTTCATATTTCTAAATCCCATGACAAATATTTTTGCAAATGGTCTTCCCCAGGACGTAGCTGGATAAGCACAGAGCTTTTCTCCACGAAGTCTCTCGGTGTCAGAGCACCTGACTATCTGGACAGGAGTAGCCAGGCTGATGCAATGAAGAACGAGAACAGATTGTCTTCAAGGATCCAATTTGCTCTACTTTAAGGTGGAATCAAGAGTTTAACAGAGTGACGATTATTTCAAAATGTGTTTTCAATAGAAAGCCATTTGAGAGTGCCCATTACACAGCTATAAAAATGTGGCTATTTTAACATCCCACTTTTTACCGTAAACGTTGACAGTTACTTTCATCCTTTCCCTGCTGTCACTCCTAACTTCAGTAGAAGCTCTAATTGACATAACTATCCAAATCCATTATTATTGTAACCCACCTCTCACCTACATTTCAGTGTTAATATGTCATATTCCACGATGGCCTTAAAACTCTCGTCCTCTCTCAGTCAACACTGCCTGTGGCATTAATCTTGCCTGCTAAGAACTGCAGACTCTCAGAAGCAACCATCTATTGAAAAATCATACTTCTTAATTGTCAAAAGAGGCTGGCGAAGACCATGTAAAGGGATGCCAGGGGCATGGGTGCCTGGCTTATCCATTAGCTACAGCATAGTTCCAGAAAGGTTTGTGTGACGGAGCAGAAAGAGACCTGTGGGCTCACCTACTCATACCACCCACGAGCAAGTGCTCGGGTAAGGGTCCACATGAGGAGCACCTTTTGGTTCAACAGATTAATTAACTGCCAAAAATCACAATGGGTAAAATTAGAGCAATGAAGGAAAAACGCTCTGGTTGTCAGCATCCTCTCCTATTAACAACTGCAGCATCTGAACTACAGGTGCTTCCAATCTGTCTTCAGTAGGCAATATCATTGTTTCTTTCAATCTGTCTTCAGAAGGCCATATCATTGTTTCTTTATCTATAAAATTGGGAGAGTCATAATTTTTGCTTCTTAGAATTTTTCTTGGAGAAAATTAAATGAAATAGAATATATACACATAATAGTCAACATGACTACCACAAATATGTGCGTTTCTCTGTCTGTTTGTGTATATATCTGTAAACATAATTGTACAAAATTAAACCTTAGCATTGGAGGTACTGGCAACCTAGTAATTAGCTAACTTAATTATCTATTCAGCCAAAAAAATTACAGTAGAACTCTGAAAACTTCATAATAGTCAACGAAAACCAAATAGATACATAGCCTCCCTTTGAAAAGTTTTCAATTTATTTGTTTTCTTAGGTTGCAAATCCAGGAGTTTAAACTTGTCCCAACTGTCCATCAGTAGTATCGAATGCAAGCAAAGGGATAGGCTGTCTTTAATGGAAAGCAATGAAGGAGCATCTCCTCATTTCTCAACCACTGGATTACCAACAAATTAAAATATGTCAAGATGTAAATGAATGTATTAAAAAGATGAACAGCATTTACATTTTTAAGGAAAACCACCATTTAGATAAAGGCATGGGAAACAAAATGAGATTCCATGTCATTTATGTTAGTTGATGAAACAAAAATACAGACTTAGAAATCAAGCACAATTCAATACCAGGATGGAAAGTGCTCTTTGGAATGCCTCTGGCATGCAGATAAATATATATTTTTCTGAAATAAAATAATTATTGGTTCTTGTTGTCAAGCCACTGAAGTCTAAAGGACATGTAAAACACTTAATGATTCGTTTCTTATTAATTAAATGTATTCACTTATTTTACATCTGGTCTACAGTTTCCCCTTCCTCCCTCCTCTCCTCCCAATCCCACTCCCAGCATCCCTCTGCTCTGCCCCCCACATCCACTTCCCTCTGTTTCCGTTCAGAAAGGGGGCAGGTCTCCCATTGGTTTCAACAAAACGTGGAATATCAAATTGGGGAAGTACTAAGATCCTTCCCTCCTATTAAGGCATGGTAAGGCTCCAGTATGAGAAATAGGTTCCTAAAAGCTAGCTGAAGTGTCAGGGGCAGACCATGTTCCCACTGCAAGGAGTCCCACAAGTAGCCTGATCTATATAACTGTCACACATATGTAAAGAGCCTAGGTTGGCCCCATGCAAGCTCTTGATATCCAGTGTCAGTGAGCTTCTATGAGTGCAGATTGGTTGTTTCTGTGGGTTCCCTTGTGAAGACCTTGACCTTCCCTGGCCTGTACAATCGTTCCCCTCTTTCTTCAACAGGATTCCCAGAGCTTGGACCAGTGCTTGGCTGGGGATCTCCACATCTGTTTCAATCAGATACTGGGTGAAGGCTCCAATAATTCTTAAAATGAAGGACAGTTAGAAACACATCACCAATGTAGTGTTTGAATGGTATTTTGAGGTCACTCACCTGCTGAGAAGAATTCATTGATATTCTTTGGGTTATGTCCAGTATGCTTCATTAAGGAACTGAAATAAGCATTTCAGAAATATATGGTATTCATATTCTTGTTTCCCTCTGTCTCCTGACTTGTGGGTTGTCTTCTTTTGATTTGTGAACAGAAAAAAAAGCAATGCACATAATTTTTGAGAACATGCCGATATGGCCCCATAGAGGCAAATTAGCCATATTGTATTCAATGAAGATTAGTTTGTAAGAGAAAAAGAAAGCAAAGATTTTGTACTCAGATAGCAGAATTCTTGTTCCATGTTTTTCTCCTGTTTATTAACTTGAAACAGGAAAATTATGCAGAACTATGTATTCTCAAATCCTTGGCTCCCAAGGTCATGGGTTGATGCTACATTTCCCAGGCCCTTTGTTAATTTTAGGCTATTATCCAATCATATTGCTCACTCTCAAGATTTTGTAGTTCAACTATTTTATTATATTTTATTTTAGTTCAACCTGGGAAAAAGCTTGAGTGATATATTAAAGCTATAAAATTAAGGTCAGGACACAGAGCAAAGTAACGCCCAGGGAAATATAATGGAGTCCATCCATCAAATCTGAAAATACACACTAGTCTTAAGAGAAGATAACAATGTGTGTCAATTGAAGTTTAAGGGGTGTAGAGAGTTGTGCCTGTATCTATCTAATAACCTAAGCAATTACACACTTTCTCTCTCTAGGATGAGAAGTCATCTCAGATGAAATGCAGTTTTTTTTTAATGAAACTGCTTATGCAAGCCCTGTCTTAAAATAAAAATGGTGACTCACACAGCTCTGCTTGACACCGTAACTCATTAAACTCCCTGTTCTTGCCTTCTTCACTGTCTGGCCAAGTTTTAAAGGTTGAAGGATGGATCCCCAAGGTCCTTGTGGGCAGCTCTAACCCTGAGCCATGCTGCCAGGATAAACTGGTTTTGTGTTTGTGTGCACATGTTATTCTCTCTCCTATCAAAGTTTTTCTCCTAAGGTTTTATTATTTCCCTGGCTTACCTCTATTAAAGTTCCATTAATCTTCTTAGATTAAGTCTAATCAGAATAAAGCTATTGGTTCTATTTTGTCTTTAAATGATTGCTTTTTCCACCCACTGTGGCTATGAAGGGGAATTCAGCATAGAGTATGCAGAGGCTACAAGCCTTCCTTCGGTTCTGCACATTGATCCATGATGAACAGTTAGGAGAGGAGTTTACTAGAAGAAATAGGGATGTGGGGGCGGCCAGTGTGGTGACTGGAGCTTGCATTAGCAGCCCGAGGCTCTTTGTATATGCACTTCTCCCTGTCCTCTTCTGCACCAGTTTTGATTCCCCCCCTCCAGTTTCTAATAGAGAAAAGCAGCTATGTTCTTGAAGGCTCTCAGAGAGAAGTGAGAAGCTGATGCTCTTCTTCCCTGGAAGATGAGTTTGAAATGAAGTCCTCCAGAAATCTAGCCCCTGCTTTGTGACCCGATTCTATGGAGCTAACTACTTGAGGTGATTTTCTGTGAGAAGAACATTAAATATAATGCAATGCTGTTCTCGCCTTGCCAGTGTGACTGCATTCATTTCTTGCTGGTGTTTGTGACACAGCAGCTTCTTTTGTAACCAGAGAATCGCTGGACATTTCACATGACCCATGCAACATAGCACACTGCTCTTTATAGTCTCTAATTGGTGTACATGCAGTCTGCTGTGCCGGTGTTCTCCGGTTTCCCTTGGCTCTTCTTCTTCTTCTTCTTCTTCTTCTTCTTCTTCTTCTTCTTCTTCTTCTTCTTCTTCTTCTTCTTTCAAAGAGTCTCTCCAAGAATAAACTGCCTCAAAACTGTACTTCTACAATATTTTTTGTAGCTCAACATGTCTTCCTATCCATATTTCATTATTTCTTTTGAGTATTGACTCTAAATATAAAATCTTCCACTCTGTGCTTATAAGCATGGAAAATCCATCAATAAACCACTAATGGGGTGATGTGGACACGGAGATGTAGAAAAGATGTAGGGTGATTTTGTTTCACATCTTCCTTTGCCAAACAAATGTGTTTGTCTGGAAATTTCAGTCCAGTAGTCCTTCCCCAATGCCGTGCTGATAGGAGTCCCTCCTCCTACATAGTTTCTCTGTCTAGAATCATGGGGCATAGAGTTCTGAGATTTGAACTATCGTCCTGAAGAGGATCTATTGTTGCTGGTAATGCTATTTGGGGCTAACAGGAACAAGGAATAAAGGCACCACTGGCTTAGTAGGAAATGGAGAAAATGCTCCAGATGAAACCACTTTTGCTGTCTTTGGACCTGAACAGGGACTCTGGGGATGGAGAAAGTGCTATATAAGTAGAATTCTTTTTTAACAAAATGGCAACTTTCCTCCTGACAGGAGGTAGAATGTGTCCATTAATCTCATTTCTGATTAAAGTTGTGCTGAGAAATTTTAAACTGATATTTCTTCCAGGTCGTGTGGAATTTGACCTGGTATCTATCACTATCAGTGTAACCTGCTGTGGCCAACTTCCTGGTGCCTTGAAAGTCAAGAACAATATGGCCTCGGCTGATACTCCAGAAATTATCCATGATTTAAACAAAGAAAGTTTGAAACCATGCCTGTAAGCTGAAGAACGCATTAAAGAAGTTACTTGTAAGTCAAGAACATTTTGTTGGGAGAGGTGGTTCAACAGCTAGAAGCACCTGCCATTCCTCCAAGCAATGCCATGCCCTAACACCAAGCAGCTCACAAACACCTGCCACTCCAGCTTCAGGGGAGCTGATGCCCTCTGGCCTCCATGAGCTCTACACGCAGGCCATGCACACAGGCATCAATCAAAATGAATCTTCAACATTTTCATGTAACCTAATCCTACTTAAGTGGGAAAAGTATGAAATATTCAAAAGATCATAATGCTGCAGTTAGTTATACTTTATTTTTAAACTCAGATTATTTAATTTTAGAAATATTGTAAACTGCATTCCCTTGCTCTTTTTAGACCTTCTACTAATTTCTAGATACAAGTTTTCAATATCGGCCTTTCTGAATGGATTTTATGCCTCTGAAATAAAGCTTACCTATAAACCCAGCCTCAGGTTCACTGGCCTCATTCCCTCCTAGAGGATTCATGTCTCCAATTACTCAAAAGTCTCCCAAGAAACTCATTTTATCATCTAATAGCACTGGAATGGCTGGAGTCTAATTTAATGTTATTAGATATCCCCCTGGGCAGCAATTTCCTAATGGTATTGATAAAATGTAAACAGTATGCAAAAGAGAAGCAGATAATTGATTTGGTCTAATAACTAATTTGGGTTCTTTTGTTGTTCTCTCAGCCTTGCTAAGTCGTAGTGATGAACATGCACACCACTTTATCAGATTTTTATTTTTATTTAAAATATCTCCACCTTGATGCATGGTTATAAACACTTAGAACAAACAGGCTATGTTACATTTATGGACCGCCCTAACCACTTGAAACACCTGCCTGTTATTTGGGAAACAAGATTTTGGGTTTGGCACAGAAGTTTGGTGCTGAGAGCAAAGCGTTATAAGTATTTGGTTCTACTGAAGCCTCTCTCCTGGATCATGGAAGGCGGCCTCTTTTGTGAGCCCTCCAGGGAAAGAAGAGAACAGTCTCTGGAAAATTCTCCCTAGATATTCTGAGAACGCAGTCTTCTAAGACTAGGTGTATACTCTTAGAATCATTAAACTTTGATTATCTTCTTAAAGACCCTGTCTCCAACCAGGTAATGATGTGTGGCAAAACACATGGTGTGTGTGTGGGGGGGGGTGGCTTAGAAAGACAAAATGCTTTCTTGGGCTCCAGGTTTTAGAGATTCTCATCCTCTGTTGGATGGCCCTGTTGCTTTGTGACTGTAGTGATGGAAAGAGTGCATGGTGGTAGAAGCATCTCTCATTGAAGATTCCATTACCAAATGGTGTCAAGAAGCAAAACGAAAGCCTTGGCTCCTCACTGCTTCCACGGCATGTCTCTTGTAGCATGACTTCCTCCCTACATTAGACAGCACTCCTTCAAGTTAACATAAGCCCTCATAACTTTACAAGTTGTTAATGTAACCTCTAGTAGGTGTGTGCCCCTGCTGCACATTTGGGATGAAACACTGTAGCCTACAGCTTCATTGTAAGAAAGCTTAGGAAAAAAGGAAGACTACTGGGCCCAAACACTAACTTAGGTATGTTTCTTGCAAAAGCAGAGCATGCTAGTGACAGGAAAAGTATACTATAGTGCGAATGGATCAACAACTGAGATGTTCTTCAACATCCTCCAGATGTAAGTGCTCCTATTATTCTGTTCCTCCTGGATCAGCAACTGTATCCATTTTAAACATTCATTCTTTTTCATTCAGTGGATATAAGTGTTTTGCCTGCATGTGTGTATCTGCTGGACACCCAGGGAAGCCAGCAAAAGTGTTGGATCTCTTGGAACTAGGTTTAGAAATGGTTTGGAGCTTCTGTGTGGTTTCTGGCAACTGAACCCGGGTCTTCTGTAAGAGCAGCAAGTGTGTTTTTAACTTGCAAGCCATCCCTCCAACTCTTCAAGTTGATTCACTTTATTATGTAGTCCACCATTTTGCCTAAATTTAGACATTCCATTACATCCCACCACAATATTATTTACCAAAAATAAACAAGTAGAATTTTGAAAAGTTCTTAGATTTATGAGTGATGTTTTAATGATCTTTTTGGCATATTGTTATTCTTTTGGGTAGATTATAAACTACATGTACAAACTATGAAAAGCATTTTTCTTATACCTGCAGCATATCAAACTGTAGCCATTCCCCTCCCAGGTGTGCAGCTACTCCATAAATTTGACAAAAGCAAAAAACAGCATTATTATGTTACAGTTATTGAACTGAGATAAAGATACTTGTTTTCTATTTTCTGGGGTCTTTTGGGGTATTCATTCTTTAGTATTTAGCTATGGTTATAGTCTGTGTAATACATAGCTTCAAGTATGTACTGGGGAAAACTTGCTGAGGTAATGAAGCCATAGGAACCAACAACAATTAAAACCTCTGGACAATATGTTATGGCTTTTTCTCAAACACATCACTTCATTTGGATTTAATTAAGATCTTTTTCCTTTGTTGCCAAATATGAGATCAACTGATAATGAGCATGCATTCTTTCTTTATTGAAGTATAAATATCATGTACTTAACAAAGTGTTCCCCCATAACAATGAGTTCAACCTGCTGTGTACACCTAAGCAATGCATTGTGGAAATCACATGTGTACAGGAGAGAGATTCAGGTATCAGTGAATCTGAGGAGCCCACCCATACAAAACAAGGTGAGAAGAGAGAAGGAGATACCAGAAAAACAAAAGAAGACTAGGACTACAAGTGCAGAAAACTTTAAACACATCTAGAATCCTTGGCAAACATATTGTGGTCATTATTTTCTGAAAGTGGGGTAATCATTGTTATCTTCTGTGATAATTTTTTTAAAAGCCCACAACAATACTATTGAACTATGAAATTTCACTGCAATATCTTTAGTATTGTCTTAGTTACTTTTTTATTTTATTATTGCTCTGTTAAGACACCATGACCAATGCAACTTATATAAGAAATAACTTATGGAGGTCTAAGGTGTCAGAGGGATAGGGTTCATAACAGTGATGACACAGATTATGGCAGAGGCTGTAGGCACACAGGCATGACACCGGGCTGTAGCTGGGAGCTTATATCTGATTCCACAAACATGAGATGGAGTTGGAGGTGGGGCTAACAGGGAATGATATGAGTTGACAAAATCTCACCTCCCAATCCTTGCCAAACTATTGTTCTACCAGCATGTACTAAAACACACACGTTTACGAGGGGCATTTTCACTCAAACCACTACAACCACCACCCATTAGAAAACACTGTGAACTTCCGACGGTTGTGTGTTATAGTGCTTTTGTTCCAAAGTGAAGAAGTGCTCTTATTTGAAACAACAGGAGTAAGAGTAAGAAGCCGTGCACAAAGAGGCCTTCTTTTCCTTTGCTAAACACACAGTCTAGTAGAACATGCATTCTGATAGGTTCTCTTCACCTTCTAAACTTTTTTATCACAAGTGCCTTCTGTGTAAGTGAATTACAAAAGCTGCTCTCCCAAATCTAGCCCTAATGTTCAATTCCAATAATACTCTGTGTAACAGATTTACTATGAAATACTAGTATCGTTTTTAAGTTCATAGAAAAGATGACTTGAAATCGCCTGGTAAATTAACATGAATTTTGTGTAACAGAATCTATGAAGAAATAATTTTCGAAATGATAGGCCAATATGTAAAGAGTTGATCTTACACATGTTGTACTCTATGATTGTGTGCTATTTCCTCCTGTTTCTCTTGCTTCAGTAAGAGTCCATCAGAGTGACTGCATTACTTATTTGACCTTCAAACTGTGGTTGAACTTTAGGTTTAATTCAGTTATGATTGTTATCATTTGGCAAGTGAGCATCATAGATGATGTATTTTTGCATTGATTTATCATTGATTTGAAACAATTCTGAAAAGTACAATTGCTGTAGAACAGAAGTTAATTTTCACAGAAAATGCAGAGATTTATGAGTGGAATTCCAACAACATGCAGACTGCTCAAAAGATTTTCCTTCCTCTGTATTGTTAAGTCAAACTGAAGAATATTTCTTTTATATATAAATTTCTAATTTAATCTCATCATTTATTGTATATTTAATTACACTTACCACTTTTTCCTTTAAAATGGGTTTAAATATATAATTTTGTCAGCATATATATATATACATATATAAAGTTAAAGTTTTAGATATTCTTCTAATTTAACAAAAATTGAAAGCAGTCTATGTTTTCATGATTTACTTGTGTCTACTATGAACGAGTATGGGCTTGAGATTAAAGTGTCTATACTAGAAATAAAACTGAATTTATAGATCTTTTAAAAATAATATTAACATTGAAAAATATTTTGTATATACATATATAGTAAATATTTAAACAAAATTTAATATTGTATGATTGTGGTTATATTGCTTGTTTAATGAGAGGATTTTTTTGTTTTTTTCTTCTATGTTTTCAGTACAAAGAAAGGATCTTTTCTCCTTCCTTTCTTAACACTGAAGTAATTCTTTAGATAAATAGACTCTGTATTGGTGAATGTAAATAAAAATTCCCATGGAAATATGTAGGTTACTGACACACCTGAGCTAATAAATAATTTCCAAATCTATGCCTGTTGGCTTTGAATACTTTTTTAAATGCACCTCTGCTGTCTCATCTACTTTGCATCTTTATCTAAGACTAAAATAATCTCAGAATGTTTGTAAACATACTTTATCATCTCAAATAACACTGAAATTAAAAGATTGGCTAATAAACCATGAGAAGTAAAAATTCTAGAGAAAAATATTAGAATTGTAGATCATTTTTCTACCATTGAGTTTGTAATATTATTAATAATAATAAATTTTATTTATTGTCGTTGCCAGCTAGCATTTCTCAAATTCTTATATTTATCATTTGGTTCTCTTAAAGATTTGTAAAATGTAGGCTGGTCATGATGCCTGAATCTATGTAATCTATGAACCTATGGGATCCTAGGTGAAGGTGATGCTACTGCGGAAGGCACCATAGGATATTCACATTCAAGGTCAATTGACAGACCACAACATCACATAGAACTCTTAAATTACCTTTTTATGAGCTGTTAATATAAACTCTGGTGTGTACTTTTAAACTTACATAAACACATTTTTTTAAAGGTTATACTGGTACTTCAGACTGTTTCCTTTCAACTATCAGTATCAAGGTTGATGTGATATATCTTGAAGGTTTATATTTATCATTATGAAGACATAAAATGGATAATATAAAATAATGTACAATACATATTCCTAAATTACAATGAAATAGCTTCCCTCTCCAGTTGATGCTGTTCGAGAAATGAATATGAGCATGTGTGTGTGTGCCTGTGTATTTCTGTAAACTTATATGTATACATTTGCATTGATATATAATATGATAGATTTAATCTTTGTTT